CTCTAAAATCCCCAAAACCCTAGGGGAGTCGAAGAAATACTTTTTCACTGCGGCAAGTTCCAGAACCACGAGATCCAATCTAGAGGCCTTTTCCGCCACTGTGGCGGAGGGGGCAACGATCACGGAGGGTTCTTCACCATCCTTGTTGCCCCTCCCATGATGCGTGAGTAGTTTACCACAGACCTACGGGTCCGTAATTAGTAGCTATGACTTCTTCTCTCTTTTTGATCTTCAATACAATGTTCTCCATGTTGTCCGTGGAGATCTATTTGATGTAACTCTTTTTTGTGGTGTGTTTGTTGGGATCCGATGAATTGTGAGTTTCTGATCAGTTCTATCCATAAATATTATTGAAGTCTTTGCTGAACTCTTTTATGCATGATTGTTATAGCATCGTATTTCTTCTCCAATTTATTGGTTTGGTTTGGCCAACTACATTGATTTATCTTGCCATGGGAAGAGGTGCTTTGTGATGGGTTCGATCTTGCGGTGCTCAATCTCAGTGACAGAAAGAGACGTGACACACATGTATCGTTGCTATTAAGGGTAACAAGATGGGGTTTATTCATACATGAGTTTATCTTGTTTACATCATGTCATCGTTCTTATTGCATTTACTATGTTTTTTCCATGAACTTAATACACTAGATGCATGCTTGATGGCACTCGATGTGTGGAGTAATAGTAGTAGATGCAGAATCATTTTGGTCTACTAATCTTGGACGTTATGCCTATATACATGATCATTTCCTTGGATATCGTCATTATTATTGGCTTTCCTATCAATTGCCCAATAGTAATTTGTTTACCCACTGTATGCTATTTTCTCGAGTGAAGCCTCTACTGAAAACTATGCCCCCGGGTCTATTTCCTATCATATTAAAACCAAAAATACCTTGTTGTAATTTTCTTTTATTTATTTTATTTTGTGTTTAGTTAGATCTATTTATCAAATCTCATACAATTTAATCTATCTCAATACCGTTGAGGGATTTACAACACCTTCACGCGTTAGGTTGCAAGTATTTGTTGTTTGTGTGCAGGTGATGTTTATATAGTGTTACTTGGTTCTCCTACTGGATTGATAACCTTGGTTTCATAACTGAGGAAAATACTTACCTTTGTTGTGCTGCATCACCCTTTCCTCTTTGAGGAAATACCAACGCAGATTACAAGCAATCAAGCAACACAGTAATTGTCCCAAAGTTAAGTTGGAACAACTGAAGTTGACCGTTGAAAAGGTCATGGAACATGTGCATCAAGTCTTCCTTAATAGTCCCCAGCATCTCTGACAGAATCCCGTCGGGAATCCGTCCAGACTAGGTGCCTTATTATTCCTCATTTGTGCAATGGCCTCAAAAACCTCCTTTTTCGTGAAGGGGGCATTGAGCACCTCATTCTCCTCCTAACATAATTGTGGATATCCCTCATCGTACTCTCATCTAGAGATACAAAATTATCTATCAGAGCGCCGAAGAGCTTTTTATAGAAATTTTAGATGTGCAATTTAAGCTTTTTGTGACCTACAAGTGTACCTTCACCCAGTTCAAGTTCGGTAGTTGTATATTTCCTATGCTTTCCATTAGCAATTATATTGAATATGACCTGAGTGTTATTATTCCCTTGTACGATCTCTCGTACTTTAGCTCTTTATGCTCACTTAATATCTTCCTGTCTGAGAATTTCCTCAAGACTCTCTCCAGCCTCTCTCTTAGCCACACTATCAGCCATATCGAGAAGATTCTTTCAGCCTTAATATCAAACTCGTTGATAAGGTGCAAGAGCCTTTTTCCACTTTATAAATCACACAACCATTTTTAGCCCAACCCAGTAAGATTTTCTAAAATGTCATATTTTAAATTGTCATCTTCCACATTGGACTCCCCTTGGTTTTCTTTGCCCCGGTCCATGGCCACCAACTTCAGGAAGTCCACCCTTTCACACCATGATAATTCGAAAGAGAAGATAGTTTTGTTTCTCACGTGAGTCGTGTCACCGAAGTAAAAAAGTAGATGAGTATGATCAGACAACCCCCTTTGTAATGCTCGCACCATTACTAGAGGGAATTTCTGTTCTCATTCCACACTAGCTAGAACCCGGTCCAACTTCTCATATGTTGGATTAAAATTGTTTGCTCAGATATATTGCCGACCTATGAGAGCTATCTCCTTCATGTCCAGACTTTCACTTATAGCAATAAATATAAACAACGAACAACCATCAAAATTATCCTTATTTTTCTCTTACTTCCGACAAATTAAATCCCCTCCAACCATGATGGGCAACCTCTCCTTCCCGCAAATACACACTAAGTTAGCGAGGATGTCAGATTTGAAGTCAGTTTGGCCGGCCCATATACCGCAATCAGATCCCACCTGAAGCCATCAAATTTCGATCGCACATGAAACTTGACATCATATACATTTGGGAGAGAATTTCACTTCTCCCGGCCTCTACACCAACCACGGTTGCACATAGCCTTTTTAGTATGAATACCATGATTTTTATCATGAATTGCATTCCCACCACATATCAAGCATGGTCCTCGGAGATTTTTTTTATTAGCACCATCATTTTATCTTGATGAGTGGTCCCACCACACACCAAGCTTGAACCTCAGTAAATGGGGAAAAACCCCTGTGCATCACCTGTCAATTCTAAAAAAAAACCGGGTGGTTAGGCTGCACAACCTCAGACCTAACCACTAAGCTAAGATTCTCTTTGCAGTAGTGCTAGTGATGATGGATGGCGGATGCTCGATGGATCTTGCAGCGGCAGATTGCGAACATGGCCGTGCGTGTGACGACTCATGGTGTATTGTTTGGGGACCAGCGGACCTTCTCAGATTTACCACTTGCATACACTTATGTCAAAGGCGTGAAATCGCCTCAACGTCTCTAATATGAGATTTTTGGCAACAAGATCTTCCTTCCAGTATGTTCTCGGCTCTATAAACCGTTCCCGACAGCTAGGCTGCTCGCATAGTGTGTGCATAGTTTTCAGATCGCATGCTTGTGTCGATGTACGGATCTTGTTTGCTTGCATCATATTGTTGGGTATACAACTGCCATGCTAAGGATCATCATTGTTTTTTCTTCATCAAAATGTAGCATACCTACTCGGTATGGATGACTTTGCTCTTTGACGCCTTGAGGCTATATTATGAGTCAATAAATGTGTCCTTCATTGAAAAGAAAAATTATTCTGCGTTGAGATATATGTAGTATGATTGTGTTCCTAGTACATAATGAAATTTTTTAACAAAAAATCTAATGAGACTGGTTTGTTTTTCTCAATAATTTTGTGTACAGACTAATGTGCCGACCTGCGAGTTCACCAACCAAACTAACTTGTAGTCCACACCCCCACTAGATCAGTTATCGTATGCTCTTTTACGTTTGTTTGCAGATCTCCGACCCTTACTCATTTTGTGCATAGCTTGTATATATAATTGGATCCATCTTTTATTAAAATGTTTAACAAATAAATGACCATCTCACCCTCAGCCTTCGGTTTAGTAATCAACGCTAATCTAGGTACTCCATCAACGCTCATGCCGATGCCTTATTACTTCTTAACCGATTTCTTCTGCACTACATGTAGAATTTATTCAACAACACTAAGCCAAGCATAATGCATTATATTGTTGAGTTAATATAAATAACCGTAACATTTGTGGGGACAACATACACAAGGTGGACAACGAATCATTTTACAAAAGAACTTCTCCAAGATCTAACCAGGGACCTTGATATGATATCACACTTATTTATTTGTGTCCGGCTGGACTAATTGGTTTTTCCAGCCTCTTGCAAACTTAGGCCCCGCTCCATTCTGAGACCCCAGGTGGCAGAGCACCAGGTGGCAGAACTCCTTTCATGAAGGAGTATAAAAGAACAAGTGATCTCTTGGGCTGGAAGCTAGGGACGAAATGGCCAGCTCCTCGCACCGACGCAAACGTGAACCCACCCTCGTATTGCTGAGCGTAGCCTCCAACCTAAATTTGCCCATAATTCAGTTTAGTACACAATCCAGTCGAAAAACTAGTAGTAGTACATATTGTAGGGTTTATTGCATATACACGGTTACCTCGTTGTCAGGGGTGTACCATGGACGCCACGGCTTTGTGATGGTCAGATTGAGATCCCTGACAGCGTACCTCGTCGCGGTAATCGGGCACTCATCATCCATGTCGCCACTGTCATCGAATTAGCCGCCATGTTACGAGACAGGAGTGAGTACGTATAGCAACTATGGCAGAAATAAAAAAGATCTCCATTTTGTGTTTTGAAGGACCTATGAATGCTTGAAGTAATAAAGTTACCTGTAGATCCAGACTCTTAATCCGTTGTCGACAAGCCAACCGATGGTTGGCATCATGGAAACTGGGGAATCGGTCCAGCCGTTTAACGACTCTCTATGTCAAAATGTAATGCATATTAGTTTTGTTCCAAGTCAAAATTTATGAAATTTGACTATAAATCTATAGAGGGTAAATATCAAGTATACGCAGCCTCTACTGAATATATATAAGAGAGAGAGTTCGTTAGCAAGTGCGTTACTTACGAGCACTCTGACCAATCGGTGTTGGTTCTAGCATGCATAGCCTTCTGCACCTCAGGATTGTTGAGGTAGGCGTCGATATAGGCATCGATGCACGGATCATAGCCTGGTAACTGTATCAATTAATTACAGCGGCTAATTAGTCAGTATACCATCACCTCTGATTTGCTAATGCTGGATAATTTTTTCTTTTGTTTTCTAAAATAGAAAGAGCGCATCTATCTTGTGCATTAGTACGTACGTAGCTGCTGGGGTGGATACCCCCGTCTGGCGACTGGATGCAGACCGGGGCGTAAATGTTGTACGTATCGATGTCGCCCTCATCGAACGAGTCGTCGCACCCGTTGTTGCACGGCGCGTTGACGCTGGCCCACACCTCGTCGGAGATCACCCCGTGGCTCCACAGGAACTCTAACTTTCCATATGAGTTATTGGACTTATCGAGGAGCGGATTGCCGACCTGCAGACGATTTCTGTTAGTCAGAGATACCACCAATAGAGATCAAAGCTAACAACGCCGGCGGCCATGATTAGAAGGCAACTTACGAAGATGCCCTTGAGGTTCATGTCCGTGGCACCGAGTTCGCGGAGGGCGACGATGACGGTGGCGAGCTGGGGGACGTAGTGTCCGGCGTAGCTCTCCCCGGAGATGTAGAAGTCGCGGCCCTTGTACTCGGGGAACCTCTCCAGCCAGTGGAGCAGGAACATGTAGGCGTCCACCGCTGTCCTCGTGTCGCCGCTCGGTATCGATGCGTTCGAATAGGAGAACCCGACGCCCGCCGGCGACTCCAGGAAGATCACATTCGCCACTGCACGACACCAAAAACCATCAGAGATCACAGCATGCATGAAGTTGTAACAGGATCTATCAGGCACCCACAATTGTTCCAGGCATGCCTGTTTCTGCTCAGGGTCTTCCCATCAGGGTTCACACGGAACGGGCCGAGCTCCGCCATGGCGCCGGAGCCGAGCGACGAGCACCCGGGCCCGCCGTTGAGCCAGAGCACGAGCGGCTTGGAGGAGGCCTCGTAGGGGGCCTCGACGAAGTAGTAGAAGAGCGCGCGGCCGTACTCCTCGCTCACGGTGACGTAGCCGGAGTACTGGCCGAAGTTGACGCGCGGGGGCTGGCCGGGCAGCGCCGCGATCCTGTCGGCCTCCCTGCTGCCTGCCGGCGGGGTCTCGCACTTGGTGGGCAGGTGGCGGAAGCTGCTGATCGGGTCGGCCCACGCGTCCGGCTCCGCGGGCCCGTTCGCGCTCGTCTGGGCCCTCGATTTGAGGAAGGCCCTCAGCACCTCCTTCTGGTTGGCCGCATTCGCGAGCGATCCTCCTCCCAGTAGGATCACCAGTGCTACTACCGCGTAGTACATGGTATTGTTCCTCATCGTAACCTGCGAGCAAATTACGTAGATCTTCTTGGTGTTTTTATACTGATACGTTGTAGGTATTTCGGACATTCCAAGCAGAAACTTTGCGGTTTAGAGTTCTCCGAAGTTAGCTAGCTAATAGCTACTAGATACATACTTCTCATCGATGCTTGATCTTCGTTCGATAGTGCCGGGCATTTTTGGCGTATACGTACAGCAATGAACTCGACACCCAACTTGGCCGTTGATGCCGAGGTGACACTTGTAGGCAAACAATCCAAACGACAAGACTGAGGTGCGAGTACTTCTGCTTACCAACAGTTGACGGACATGCGTCTCCCACATTTTTTTCGCGAATACGCAAAGTTTGTGTATCGTTTCATTGATAGAAAAAGTTAAGAAGCGTAAGCGGTGATACAACGCATGATACAAACGCGGGAGGCGTGAACATGGCTACCGAAGCAGAGGGACGTGAGATGCTCTCAGCCCAAACAGAAAAGTAACACAGCTAAACTCGCCACCCTCAGGACGCAGCCCAAACCAGACCAACAAGACGTGCGTCTCCTTCAGAGAACGTACTTTCCTCCTACCTGGCACCCGTGACCTAGGGGACAGGCGGGGCCAGTCTACCCTACTCCCCCACGAGACCGAGGGCCCCCTCTTCGTCGTCAATCGTTTCGACAACAGGAGGTGGCGGGGACCCCATAGATTTGATTGAGTGGTAGGGCTCGGGATTTTGAGAATTTTGCTTTACGAAGACGTAGGACCGGAGGCGGAAACAAGCTTTGCTCACGATGCACTGTCGGTGGATGCACCAGGAAGAAGACTTTGGCACCTCTCAGGACTTGGATGTGTTTTAAATTTTATAAAAGCGTGATTTCTAAGGGTTTCTGCTACTTAATACTCCCTCCATATTTATTTACTCCGCATATTAGCTTTGGTCAAAGTCAAATTTTGTAAACTTTGACAAAGTTTTTATAGAAAAAGATATTAACATATACAATAACGAATGAGTACCATTAGATTCATTATAACTAATGAGTACCATTAGATTCATTATTGAATACACTTTCCCATCATATAGATATGCTATTTTAAATGTTTGTATTTTTTTCTATAAACTTGGTCAAACTTTATAAAGTTTGACTTCTACCAAATCTAATATGCAGAGTAAATAAAAACGGAGGGAGTATATCACCTTTAGTCTTTTCCTTAAAAAATGTTCGGAACCAGCCAAAATATGTGTAAGTTTGGCCCAATAAGAAATAAGGATATAGGTAAAAAGCAAGGCCCAAAGGGAACGAGAGCCTAAAAACGCATCCACATGTGTTGCATCCGAGCGGCTGCACTTTGCCCCCACCAACACCTTACCACTTCCTCTGCATCGGCCTCTCTTGCCACCACTGTCCTTGGCCTTCGCCATGGTGGCGGTCAGCCCTGCTACCTAAGGTGGCAGGAGGCTCTTAATTTGTCCCGGGGGTGTTGGTGGTTGGCTAGAGCGACTGGGGCACCGCTGGTCCGGGGAAGTGGTGGCGCTCCCATCATCGGTGTAGCGGCAGTGCATGTAAGGACATATCGTATTAGCGTGCATGAATCTAGTCTTGATGGCAAGGATGTTTTGATGAGGTGGTCAAAGTGTTTGGATTCATCAAAAACAAAGAAGAACCTTCTATTTACATGAAGCTTAGTGATGGCAGAGTCGTATTTCTAATCTTGTATGTAAATCACATATTGTTGAATGAGAATGATGTTCCAATGCTTAAATATTTTAAGGACCCACTTGAAATTGCTTTTTAGATGAAGGATGTGAGATAAACGTCTTATATTTTCAGGATCAAGATCCATAGAGGTAGATCGAGAAGGCTAATTGGATTAAGCTAGAGTACATACATCGATAGGGTTTTGAAGCGGTTCAACATGAATGAGGCCAAGAAAGCGTGCTTGCCTATGTCACATGGCATTAGTCTCAGAAAGACTCAGACTCCCGTAACTTTTGACGAGTGAAGTCACATGGACGCGATTTTGTATGCTTTGGTTGATGGATCCATCATGTATGTTATGTTATATACAAGACCAGATGTTTCTTATACTCTAAGTGTTACAAGCAAATACCAGGCTGATCCAGGTGAGTGTCATTGGGCAGCAGCTAAAAATATTCTTACGTATTTGTGAAGTAAAAAAGATTGGAGGGAGTACAATGGAGGCTGATGAAGTCATGTACCTAGGGTAGGGTCATGGACCTATCTAGGATACCCTACCCAAGGACATCCTTAGAAGAAGCTACCTTCCAGTCGACCAAGAGAGACTCCACTCAACGAACTCAAGGACACTCGACGATGAAGACAGCCACTCGACCATGAAGCTAATCACTCGACTACCAGGAGACCTAAAGTCACTCAGCACGCAACGGCCTGACATTAAGTAGCTTTAATAGTCTTCATGGTCCTTTATGTGGGCGTTACCAGTAACTCCCTGTCTTAATGTACTTTAAACCCTGCATAACTGAGGGCTGGAGGGGTCTGGCGAACTCTATATAAGCCACCCCCCTCCTCAGTGTAGAGGGTTCGCACCCCTGTAACTCATACGCACATAATCCAGTCGACCGCCTCCGGGCTCCGAGACGTAGGGCTGTTACTTCCTCCGAGAAGGGCCTGAACTCGTAAATCTCTTGCGTATACAACTACTCCATAGCTAGGATCTTGCCTCTCCATACCTACCCCTCATTCTACTGTCAGACTTAGAACCACGACAGTTGGCGCCCACCTTGGGGCAGGTGTCTTAGCGACTTTTTGGAGAAGTTGCAATTTGACCGATCGCCTTCATCATGGTTTCTGGCGGAGTTCTGGTCGAGGGCCACGAGATCTGTCTCGGTGCGCTTGCTTTCATCGCCGACGACTCCACTTGGCTCCAGGAGGCACCACTCGACATCGACGCGCTCCCCGTCCGCGGTGCGACGCACTTTTGGGCGTGTGTCCGCGGCGTCCTTCTGCGGTAGCCGTCGACCCCATACCGGTCGACTCCTGTGCCGTCCTCCCTCCCTGTCTCCCGCCAGCGCAAGCGCTCCGGTCGGTCGAGGCTCCAGCGATGGGTGAGACACGCAGCGGCTCGCCAACCGGCCACCACCCAAGTCGCGGCAATTGAGCCCGACGAATCTCTCTACGGCATGTTCGATCTGTCGACTGGCTCCGTAGAGACTGCATCCGAGTGCGACAGTAGTGATCCAGCGGCGGAGGTCCTGATGGTCAATGGACCTCGTAGCCCTCCCGGCTTCCCCCGCATCGACGGGATGGACGATGGAGGCGACCCCTCTCAGGCTCACGAAGAATATCAACCCGAGCCACTCACTTCTCAGCAAAGAGAAGATCTTCGCCGCCGGAACATGGATGCCCTGCATACTCCTATCGCAGGAGAAACTACCGAGACTCATGCCTTGGAAGAGGCGCGTTTGGCCAACTTGGCTGAACGCACTCGACTGGAGAACCTCCAGCGAGCACTCGACGAGCGTGCGCGGCAACGAGTACCTGACTCCAACCGACGTCCGCAACCAACTCAGGTATATCGAACCCCGATTCAGAATTTAGCAGCTGCAGCCCGTATAGCGGAGTCAATTCAGCCCTCTTAGTCGGAGGCTGGAAGAGGCTTGATGCAGATCAGGGATTTGCTCCGGGCAGCAGGAGATCAGAATTCAGTTGTGTCACAGTCGCGCAACAGGATTCATAGTCGATCCGTCGCTGCGAATACTGTTCAGTCGGCTCACAGCCCAAGGTCACCTCTGAGGCGCGTGGGACGTGAAGACCGGTGGGACCACTATGATGGCCGATTTGGTTGTGACGATAGGCGTCGAGTGCCCACTCCTCCCCCGAGAGGTGGGTCTAACGCCCATCGGTAGCAAGATGACAGGCGCCAGCTCAGTGTTGAGCGGAGAGCTTCGGTCGACCCCAGAGAACCAGGCTTTGACGCGAGATCCGTCATCATGCAAGGTTTGGTCAATCGGAACAGAGCTCATAGAGGTGGCCATGACAGAGATGTGCCCACTAGCAGTCGAGTCCATGTTTCAGGTCCAGAATGCTTTAGCAGAGCCATCAGAGCCGCAGTGATACCCCCCAACTTCAGGTTGGCGACTGGGGTAAGTAAGTTCACCGGAGAGTCCAAGCCTGAAACTTGGCTTGAAGACTCCCGAGTGGCGGTACAGATTGGTGGCGGTAATGATGAGGTGGCCATGAAGCATTTGCCACTCATGCTAGAGGGTTCAGCCAGGGCGTGGTTGAATCAGTTAGCTCCTAGCAGCATTTACACTTGGGAAGATCTTTCCCGAGTGTTTGTCAGGACGTTCGAGGGAACTTGCAAGCGACCGGCCGGATTGACGGAGCTGCAAGTCTGCGTACAAAAGTCGAGTGAAACATTGAGAGATTATATCCAGAGATGGATCACTTTGCATCATACCATGGAGAATGTGTCTGACCATCAAGCGGTCTGTGCCTTCAAGGATGGTGTCAAGAACAGAGAGTTGAGCCTGAAGTTTGGTCGAACCGGAGATATGACCCTGAGTCGAATGATGGAGATTGCCACCAAATACGCTAACTTTGAAGAAGAGGACAGGCTCCGGAGTGGCAAGTATAAGCCAAGTCAATCGGAAAAAGGAAACTCTAGTCGGAAGCAGAAGCGGAAGGCCGAGGCAGCTGCTCCTGGAGAGGCTCTGGCCGTGACTCAGGGCAAATTCAAAGGGAAGCCCAAAGGATCTTGGAACCCCAAGAAGGTAAAGGATAAAGAAGGAAATGACGTGATGGATCTTCCGTGTCACATCCACACGAAGAAAGACGAAGAGGGTAATTTCATCTACCCGAAACATACCACTCGCCAGCGCCGGCTCTTAATCCAGCAGTTTCAAGGAAAACAGCCCAAGGACAAAGAGAAGGAGTCGGACAAGGCCGAGGACAAGGAGGACAGTGATGGAGGGTACCCTCATGTCAATTCCACCCTGATGATTTTTGCTGATGTAGAGAGCAAAAGTCGACTGA